CCTGCGTGTACTTTCAGATAAGAAAACCTCACACAAAAGTATCTATTAAAATGCCTTTTTCTCATAAAACTTTAAATAATTTTCTTCTCTTTTCAAAGAAAACAAAGATTACTTTAAAAGAATTCTGAACTAATACCTTTTTATAAATATCGCTAGTCTGTTCTAAGGATATATAAATGTCTGATTGACTTAAGTGTGCTTGAATTAGGAACATGCTTAAATACCTTGCTGGATAGAAACCTAAAAGAACACTGATTACAATCCTTCTCTCTATTTGCTGAATATTGGGGAAGAACTATTAAGTACAGCAAGCCTGGAAATTCTCACTCAGACCGTAAACCAGAAGTAACATCACTAGACTTTTTTCGTGCTGTTCATAAGATCTGTAACATAAAAGCATCATGAACTATGACTACTTAAAGTCAGTTTCTAGGTTTCTAGGACACTCTTACCACAAATATTTTACTTTTACAGTCTTTTGGTCAACTTAGTAGCATTCTTTTCTGTGCCACTAGCTCGCTTTTTTGATATTGGTTAGTTCCTGATTTTCATTGGCTATTTCCAGTTCTATAACTTGCGTGGTAAACAAGATTTTTTTCTTTCTGTAATTCATTACACAGTTTATACATGTTCTAATTCATAAAAGATTATTTTCCTTGCCTTAAGAATAAGGCTGTTCAGAAAATATGATTTCCGTCATTACCTGAGCTTCTTCTTGTTGCTTCTTCAGTTGTTCCAGCATCTGTTGAAATTCTGCCTCTTTCTGCTCTGCTTCTTCCATGGTTGCTTGATTCTGTTCTTCGTAGGCCATGGCGACCACAGCCAGGATCAAGTTGATCAGATAGAAAGAGCCCAGAAAAATCACCAGAACAAAAAATATCATGTATGTTTTCCCAGCAGCACGTAGTGTCTAGGGAGTAGAAAGCATATCTGTGTATTATTCCATCACTTATCTTTGTTACTGCAACAGCATTATGCCTTCAGCTCATGTACAAATAAGCCTATTTATATAATTTTGTATGTCATCTACAGTTTACTTCTCATGTCACAAAAATATCTTACCAGCTGATACAGGTTTTCCCAGAAGTCCTGAGTCATTAGCCGAAAGAGTGACAAAAAAGCCCAACTGAAGGTGTCAAAACTTGTGTAACCATAGTTGGGGTTTCTACCAGCTTTCACACATATATATCCCTCTGGACACTGCCTATGTGAAAACCAAATAGGAGGTACTTAGTCATAACTTTTATTTCCTTCTAGAACATATTTATTATCTTTTGGAACAATATGCATTATTTTTCCACAGGAAATCCATGAATTATAATTAAATTCATTCAGAAAAAAAAGTCCTAAGAAATGAACTAATAAGAGAGTAACTGAAAGATACCCTTTCCATCCGTTCACTGGTTGAAATGACCTAAATGTTTAAATTTTCCTCAGTCACATTTTGCAAACAGAATCTTTATTCCAAATGAACAATTTCCTGGCAGAAATAATTGCTAAAATGTTGTTAAGGTTACAGACAGATTAAACAATATTATTAGCTTAATCCAATTGTACTGTTAGGGTTCTCCCACATAATGCTGAAATTTTTTTTTAATAAGCTTCTTCACTGTTGCCAGTTAGGTATCAGAGTTAGCTAACAATTCTAGGCTCATAACTGGGCATATGTGTATGGCAGAATTTGCTGGTAGTGAAAAAGAGTTAGGCTTGAAAAAAAAGATTCAGTCTTGAGCTATGAAGTCACTACTGTGCTTTCTTAATATTTTATGTATTCTCTTTCTCAGTTCTAACCTTTGCTTTCATCCTATTTACTTCAATCAGCACATCTCCAAAACAGACTTTACAAGAGTTCGGATTTTATTATTAACACCAACATCATTTTCCAATCAAGCGGGAAGAAAGGCTGTTAATGAGTATTTTGTTTAGCCAGAGAGTAAAATATTTTAACTTTAATAAGAAATCATTGTTTAGCAGCAAAACTCTGTAAGTTCTGTAACACTGCTAAATACGGAGTTGCAACTGCTATGGATAGGTTTCACGTTATTGCTTTTTCTATGGAACATAACAGAGGATTTTTGAAAGGGTCTTACCCTGCATCAGAGCTATTACCACAAAGTAGGGCATCTCTTTGTCCTTCCAAAATGTAAAAATGAGCTGTGTAGAAAGCATTAGAAATATATGTGAATAAATCAAATGAACCTGAAAGTACTACAAAGTAAAATAAAAATAAATTGTAATAAAATCAAAGTGGCTATCTGCTGATCACTTTGTAGTTTGTTTAGGAACCCTTTTGGTTATTGTACTTGTTTATTGTATGTTTTTGATCTCTGTCAGTCAGTGACTGTAAGCAGTTCTACATAAGGCAGAAATATAAACTGTTTAATATTCTTTGTTTGATCACAAATAGTTACATACTGTAGCCACAAATGTATTAAAAGTAGTTATATCAGTCATTCTTACTTTCATCCTCAATGTAATCCTTCCAGTTAAATGTGCTCACTGTCATATTAACAAATGTACCATTTTCATCCATTGTGCTATTAAAGTAGGAAATAACAGTTGTTTCAAAAGTAGAATTGTCTGGAGGCCACTGCAGGCATTTATTCCTCAAGTTGCCCATGAACAGCTGCAGCCCTATTAGTGCAAATACACTCAGACAAAACACAGTCAGGATCATTACGTCCGAGAGCTTCTTCACAGACTGAATTAGGGCTCCTACAATAGTCTTTAGGCCTGCAAAGAGAAAAGATCCATAGATTTATCAAAGAGTATCTTTGCCCTTCCCATTTAATTAAGATGTCATGCAGACACTTAAAAGAAATTATTTTTTACTTCTGAAAAAGTAAAGCTTCATGAGCAGCCTCAGAGCTTGTGAAGATGAATGAAAGAAAAAGATTCTTTTTTATGAATATGCAATGTACATATATTCCAATAAACTGAATATATAATGTTATTTTCAAGCAGGAAATTTTATCAATCATGCTTTCCTGTTATAGATCTGATTTTCTTTCTTAATATTTCTCTGCAATATATATGCTGCCAATAATTCAGTTTCCAGTTAATATTAAATATGACTTCACAACAGTATGAAGATAGTATGAGATAGAATTTCAAGTAATTTTGAGGAAAAAAGATCATTTGCATTTGATAAATTTTCCAGTGCAATATTTATCTCCTTTTTGGTAGCTTTTTTGTTGTTACCTCATTGTCTTTAAGACTAATGTCAATTTTAAGTGGTAAAGTAAAGGAAAAAGTTCAAAATCAAGAAAGCCATAGCGCTAAAGCTTTTTTAATGTAAAAAAGAGACAAGTTGTCATAATAAAATGCAGAAAAACAAAGCAAAATAACCCATAGGCCTCATATTTTATGTTTCATGCAAGAATCTGTTAAACTCAAAGGCTGATTTTGCAAAATAAAAGAAGCTAATGCTGAAAAGGCAAAGAATCATAATCCAGGCTTATGATCCATGCCTTTTTTTTTTTTTTTTTTTGGCAACACGAGCAGTGAACGGCAAGACTTATGCTCAAAAGAAGTGAATTCGACTTCAATGGAACGAAAGTCAGCCTCGGTGTTTAACCTCGCTCTCACCTGGAATGACTGATATTGTTTTCAAAGCTCGGAGAACTCTGAATGTTCTCAGCGCTGAGACATTGCCCAGGTCCACAAACTCTGTCACATATCTGTAATAGGGGAGTTCACACACAAACACAATGACAGCACACAAATAACAGCTGGAGATACGAGGGGCCTAACACCTTACACCAACTACTTCTTACCTGGGATTACAGAAATAGTTTTCAAAGCTCTCAATACTCTGAAAGTTCGAAGAGCTGAAACATTGCCTAGGTTTACAAATTCTGTTACATACCTGTAGGATTAAATCACAGTTATTCAGAATTGAGGCAGAGCTTATACTAATTATGTGGGTCTTCAAAACCTCTGTGGCAAGATTAGCAATCATACTTCAAAATTTACCTGTCTCTTCAGTACAACTCACTTTTATAATTATTTATTTTCATCAATTTTGCTTAAATGTCATTGAAGTGAAACTCACTGATTTGTATTTGAACAGCTTATTAAACTAATTAGCTTGTAATAGGACAGTGACATGAAGTCAAAGGGATGGCTTCCATTCTGGTGAGCAGAAAAATATAGGACATGAAATTAGTGTCCCTCAGCCGTAATTACACTAGCAGCTGAAAAAGTGCTGGCTCCTGCCATGTTTTACTTTGATTTATGAGTCCTGAAATGTGTGATACGGTGTCTGAACTTCACAGGCTGCAGAAATTAAATACTTTTAAATCAATATATTTATTATAATAATATTTGCCACTAATTTCATGCCCTAAAAGCTTAAAAAGTTCTTGAACCACTTACGCCATTAAAATGACACTGAAGTCAAGCCAGTTCCACGGGTCTCGCAGAAAAGTAAAACCTTCTAAGCAGAAGCCCCTTGCAAGAATTTTGATAAGTGATTCAAAGGTGTAAATTCCAGTGAAGGTGTACCTGAAAAGCATCATCAAAGCAGGAATATGGATTTTTGCATACTTATGATAATAGACAGTGCCATTCTTTATCAAAGATGACTTACAAGAAAAGAAAAGAAAAGAAAATGTATTTAGAAGTGAAAGGAGAAAATCATTAACTTAACTTGCCTCAAACACTTAAGAATGTAATCGTTGTTCAGTAGATGAAATTTGAACCTGACACATATATACTATTTATTTTCTAAAAGGTTGATTTAATCTCAGTTTTTGTGCTTGCAAATAATTTCAGCCTCTAGTATTTATAGATACATTTCAGACTTTGATATTTATATGTACATTCTCTGGCACTCACAGGGCTGCCTCTTTGCTTGTACTCACAAATCAGGTAGATGTCTAAGTGTTACAAAAATGAAGAATTTTTTTTTTAATGTCAAAATCAGAGAGTTTTGTGAAAATCAATTCTGGATAATAACTATACTCACGCCTATAAAACAGGTTTATTTCATAATCATTAAATATACGAAAGCACGCCCAGACTGTTATTCTTGAAGATGTGGAGCATGATTACCAATTTACCTGGTGTGGGAACAACCATTCATTTAAAAACATAGAATAGTCAGTTATAACCAGCGTAATGCAGGGACTTCCTGAGACCCACGTGGGTCTGTGCGGACCTCCAGAATAAAGGAAATCTACCTACAGGCCCTACTGCTCTCCTTTCAGACTCTCAGCAGCCCTCACAAGCCATAGTCACTGTTGAGCATACTGGGAACGGGTGAATACTACTGCAGTTTCTAAACATAGCATTCAGGGTAAGATTCCTTAATGCAGTGAAATAAATAAATAGAAATCGTTAATGGCTATTGGAGAATGTGAGGGAAGGAAAGAAACCACAAGTGGTTAGAACTAGCTTTTTTATAAGTAGTATTATTTCAAAGAAAAACGTAGTATTTCAAAGGAAAAGGTGTATCTGTATTTTGTTAGAGAACAAACATGCATATCCATGAAAAAGAAAGAGAAACAGAGATACTTTGTCCTTTCCTTACTTCTGTGAGCTCTTTGTTACTCCTTCATAGGTAAGGCCCTTTCCTCCGTGGTGTGAGGTTCCTGTGGTTTGGGTGTTGTGTGTGCTTGCATTGGCTGGTACTTGTGAGTTCACATCAGTGAGCCATGATGAATGTCCCACTGTGCTAAGGTCGTGGATACTCAAGCAATACATGGCTGGCCTCACCAATGGCATGCAACAATTTAACACGCACATTTGAAGTTCTGGAGCTCCTTTTCCAATTTACAGCTCAGAATGCCCAAGGACAGGAGCTCGTGTTCGTACAGTAGAAGTTCAGATATTCCTCAGACATAATTTTAAAGAACAAGGCATTGCTCTTAAACCATTTAAGTTATTCAGGAGGAAACCGGAAAGATATTGATGATCTCTTGAAATCTGATTCTTCATGACTCTGGAAAAGCCCATTCTGACATGCAGCTTTCCAAAAATGCTTCTTGTTTGGAGCCACAAGAAAACAAAGTAGTAAAAATGAAGAAGTAAAAATGTTTAACTTACTCTACATTCTTTGTCCAGTCCGGAGGGTTACTCATGGTCATAAATACACAGTTGGTCAAAATAGTGCACATGATAAGCATGCTGAATAATGTAGATTATAGTCAAGGGATGTAACTCAGAAAAACATGACAGTTTTATAACACTGAAATAATTAAAAATATTAAATGTATAAAAATATGTACAAATAACATGGCATTCTAAATAAAATCTGAAAATAAAGCTTTGCACATAATTTTATCCATTTTAAATGGTATGCCATCTGGCACGTTGTGGTGCACTTACTGTAAAACAATGCATTACTTTTATAATTCTGGCAGGTTTAGGATTTAAATAAAACTTAAACACATCCTTAAGTCTGTAAAAATATTAAATGAGTACCCAAACATAATTACTTATTGAAGCCAGGGGGATCATTCTAAAAGATCTTTAGGCAGAGGTTGGTTGTTTATGCCCAAGTTGTTCTTTGGACAAGATTGAAATATACTTGAAAATATTATCCTTTATTCTGACCTGGATCTTTTATGTACCCCAATGCTGAAAACATAATACTGAAAAAGTATGCCTGTAAAAGCAGCTCTTTACTCATGCTCTTTTGTCCCTGCTAAGTGAGTCTAGTTCATGAATAGTGCTACTGGTCTTGGTAAAAGTGTGACCTTAGATTATGTTCAAGTGCAATGGTTTGTTACTAATTTGGCCTTAGCTGCAGGGCTTAGTATGGGATCAGGTCTCCTTTTGTATATAAAGCCTGATATTTAAACTCTGACAGCTTTAGGTGGTTCAGTAGAGAATTCTCTTCATAGGAATGAAGATCATACTGCAATTCATATATGATATTGCTGCTTTTTAAGTGTGATCAGCATATGTTTAGTTAGCATAGTACACCCACACGGACATAATTTGTATATCCGTATGAAAGTATTCCTTCAGTAATTAAACAGTTTTAAATGGCAACCCTTAAATCAACGTTAAGAAAAAAGGATATGAATGTACCAAAATCTTGATAGCAATTTTTCTGATGGGATTAAAAGGAGTTAAAATATACAAGGCAGATGTGGCACTGAATCGGAAAATTGCCTTTCCCTTATTCAATACTATGAAAGTCTGCAAAAAAGAAATACAAAATTAAAATCCGGTGTTGACTACATAAATATCTTTACCTCTGTCTGAAGGATTCCATTCTCCACCTGGGATGTTCAAGTTCCATTCTACTGTCTACCCGTGGTAGGAAAATAACTGATTTCTATGAATACAATGGATTAAGCCTTCCACAGCCAATTCTCCAATTTGCTAAATTTCCCAGCATGTGGACGGAATTCTGATATTATTAAAATTGGTGGGAATTATCAGCACCAATGTCAGTTTATCAATAATAGCAAAATGCAGCATTTCATCACTAAAATATTTTCAATTTTATTTCTAATGAAGTCTTTGATTAAAGTCAGAGTTTCAAATTAGTCAAATACATTCTACCTCGTGAGCAAACACTAACAAAACCAAAACAGCAAAAGGTCAATTCTAAACGCCAGTTTGTATTTGGAACAAATATTTGACAGAATTATATACACATATATATGGTGACAAGGACAAACACCTGTCACTAAACAATTAACCATAATTTAAAAATAATTTTGCTGTCATTTTAGATTTTTAAATACTACCAATATAAATTATATGTATCTTCTAAAAATGTATCTGTGAAAAAATAAAAGGGATGAATAAATTGTCAGTTGACATCATTCGGAGCAGCCAGAGACAAACATACACCGGAGTTTGCCATCCTATAGCAACAAATCTTTTCTTCAAAAAAATGCCATTTTCGTTTTTAACAATATGTTCCTGTTTCCCCTATATGATATATATATAATTTAGGTAGTTCTTCTCTTTTAAAATTTGACCTGATAAACCAGTTCGTGTTCTGTCTGTTCCTGTTGGCGGTCATCTAAGTGTTTTCATTTTTATTCCAAGTGTATTTGTGTGTGAGGTTTACTTGCATCTTTGGTGCTGTTTGAAATTTCTTCAGGACATGACTATTCTTCATTCCTTTTGCTCTTTGTTGATGGTAATGGCTCTGCTTTGTGTTACCATAATAGAGCCTTTGTGACGCTCTCAGCAGAGCTATGTAGTATCACTGTTCTCCATGTTGATTTCCATTCTCTGTAAAAACTTGGCTGTGATAGAAAAACGCTGCCCGCTCCGTGGCCTTCACTGCCTATCTGGTCTGCCATCTCTGGGAAAGAAAGCAAACCTCTCTACAGTGGGAAAGAAGACAGGTAAAGGAGTGTTGCCGGTGCCTGTGCACAGAATAACATCAAGCGCAGCATTAAGGATGCCAGAGAAAGGACTCGCACTCACTGGCATTTCCCTCTGCCCTACAGCCCTTCACCCAGCTAGAAAGGGTAGAAAGATGTTGCCTGTCCCAAGGTCACTGCTGCAGCAGGGCCTGAAGACAGGCTCCAATTCACATATGATTTTCTCTGCATTGACAAGTCGATGATTAAGAGTAATTTCTGCTATAAACTGGAGGAGGGATGACTAATTCTAGTTCATCGTTTAAGATGTCCATTTGTTGTCTGTTGAGCACGTTAGGCTGGTACGTAACATAAATACAGATGTCACCTGTGACAAAAGATTCTGCAGCTTACTAATTACGCTCATAGACTAACAAGTCCATCGGTAGCCTGAGTTTTTACACTTTCATTCCAAAAAATCGGACTACTTTTTCTGATCATTGGAGGTTAGAAAGTACACTTCAGTACTTCTCAGATTTTAGTCCTGAACTTATTATTTTAGTCCTAAACTTACATAACTTTAGTCCTGAACTTATTTATGCAACTTTATTCCTGAATTGTTTTGCAGCTGGTCAAGAAAAGGGCTTAGTGCACACAATTATATTGTAAGTAAGAATCTGCATGGAACTGTTGATATAATCAAAACCATATAAATGAAAATAACCCTTGGCAACACTCCCTCTCTGAGCTTTCATTTCTTTAAATTTCCTTAATAATGTTAATATTTGTATCATCTACAGTGCCATTTATTTAACTTTGGCAACTGTTACGCAATTACATATGGATTCTGCTTTATTTTCCGTTCCTATTACTGAAGCCATAATTTTTAAAACAGTTTTGCAAACCGAAGGCAACCACAAATTTAGCCACAAAATTGAGAGCACTATTGGCATGATTTTTTCCCATCAAACAAAATAACTTTCGTTACAGTTTAAAATACTTTATGTCTTCATTTTTTTATAGTTGCTCAACATCAAGTTTCTTATCTGGATGGCAGCCTGGAATGCCTCAAGCCGTCATCAGAGCAACTGTGTCCGTTTCCTTCTCTGTTTCACAGAGACGAGGAAAGATATTCCTAAGCACTTGTCCATAAAACACCTTCTGCATTTTTGAATTTACGTTATTATCGACAGCTTCATCTTCCTTCACTCTCCTTACCCACAACACTTTGCAGGTCTATCAGGAACTGGGAGAACATCTTGATGCTGCTAAAGGAGCATGCAGAAATAAGCAGATAGAGAGTACAGAGGAGAACCTGCTCTTACTGTCAGCTGTACCTTTTACTAATGTGTGCAGGACATAATGTATCTTTAACTATTCCCAGGCTGGACTATTTGAGATCCTGGAGGAATTTTACACAGTCTACAACTAATCCCAGCTACGGAGATATATTTGTTTGTTCCTTGTCTTTCTCTTAAGACATATAATGGTAGTCTGTTTCCAGATTGTATGTATCATTGCTACAAGATGAAAAACCATATACTCTACTGCAGATCCTGACTTTCAAAAAGGTCAAGGGGCAAACTTTTTACTTGAATGGATCTGTTTGAACTAGCCTTTCTATCTCCAAGTCCCTGGCCTGCAGATCACATGAAAATGGGACTTTGTATGACTGTGCAAATCAGAAGGGGAAGTACACCTCTTTTAGGAGTTTAAATTCTTCACGGAGCGCAACTATGCTATTAATGGTCCAGTTGTGTTATAGCCTCACACATATAACTCAGGCACATTACTTTTCTCTCACAACACGTAACTCTTCACTCTGCTCTTTCTGCATGAAAACTTTCAATTAGTCTTCAGAACAACAAAACTGTTTTTTTCAATTCCTTCCTTAAAACCTAGCTTTTCTGTGGTGTCTGCCACAGACTTCTAATTGACAGCTGTGCAGCAGAGAACTATCATAGCAATCCCAAGCACCTCAAGCAACAGTTTTCGTTGTGGTAGTTTTGTATGAACCAAGATTTACACAGAATCTCTATATGCTACATATATATAGAGATATATTTTATACATACATACATAGATTCATGTTTACATATGTTATATAGCTATAACAGAAGCAAAGAATATGGTTACAGTCCTTTATTTCACTAACTCGGATGGATGCTACCTGGTTATCTACAACCATCTCCGCTGCAAAATCATACTTGGAACACCTCGTTTGTCATATCCAATCTTACTGCTACATTGAAATCAGGAAAATTCAGTTATGTTCTCAAGTTCAGTCAAGCTCAGGGAAGCTGTATCTTCCTTACACTGAGGTAAATAACAAGTAACTCAATGGAAGTTGAAGGATTCACCATATGGAAGAGTATAAATCAGTTCTGTTAGATGAAAGGATGTTTCTGTATATTTAGTGGCTTGATGGCTCCAACCATCATATTTTGTGATTAAACTTTTCTAATGTAGAAAATTATATTCTATTTTGTGCAAAAGATTATTCACTCACTTTTTTATTGATATAATATGGGTCCAGGTCTTCCAAAGGTTCAGATACCATTCCTGGAGGTATGTCACCGTAAATAAATGGCAGTGTCTTTCCTGCCTCCAAGTCACTGTTTGGTTTTGGACCATTTTCATCATCATCATCTGTATGTTCTTGCTTGGGCTTTTTAGCTTTTTCTTCTGCAGAACGCTTTTCAATAGCTGCGAGAGAATCTCTAGTAAAATAGCGGAAGCTTTCAGGTCCTGGTGGTACCAGCAGTGCCTGTGCCATGTTTTCATCCTGCAAATTTAATTAGTTTTAGCTTCTTGCATAAGAATGACCTATAAAAGAAAATTAGATGATTTAGGAAAACTAGATTGTACCAACCCCAACATTTGCTCAGAAACGCTTTCCAGGCCTGAAATAGAAGCAGAATATTTCAAAACTGAATAAAAGTTAAAAGCAACGGCTCAAGAATTTATTTAGATATTTTATAAATTATTTTTCAGCTTTTTCCTGCTGGTCTAAAGAAAGACACTACTGCTGCCCATAAACACTGCTTTGCCTATGTCCTTAGACTCTCCCAGTTAGAGCAAAATGCTGATACAAGTGTTTTAACAGTATATCTTTTTTTAACAGGAGGATAAATGCATATTCTGTGAAGTACTCTTGAAAATTGTAAACCTATATTTTACTAGTTAATACATTTTATCTTCCCATATTTTTTCAGGTATCGGTAATCCAACTCTATAAAAGTAAATACTTTCATTAAATGAAAAAAAGGTTTTGTACAATTAATGCTGTTTAAATGACAGCAACTGAATTATGAGAGGAACAAGCATAATTCTTTCCTACTGACAGTTTACTGTGCTGAAGGTTAATGTTAGATTCCAAAGCAGGTTAGGTTGCATTTATTGACTGTCTGTGAGCTGTGAATCAAAATCACAAGCCTTTTAAGTAAAAGGAAACAGGATGTATGATCGAGACCGTGTGGGAAAATAATGCTGCTCCAGATTTTTTGCAAGGCAAGTGTCGCAATATTATTTCAGACTAAAACTAGTTTGAAATTTAAGACTCTGGTTCCCTATGAATGTCTTTGGTGCCAGTGCTAGCTGATGTAGTCCCTGCTGCTTTTTCCTGCTCTCTGCACCAAACTCTCCACTGAACAACACGTCTCTTAATGAAGCCCTGCAGTGCATCGGCTGAAAGTAATGTTCTTTTCTTTCCTCCAAGTCCTTCTGCATCAGGACCAGTTACTTAAACTGATACACTGTACAGCACAGTGGAGAGCTTTGAACGGCTGAAGGGAGGGAATAGAAGAAGGAAGGCAGATCTGGTTAAGGAGCAGTGCCAGCAAGTAAGAAATGATAGCCTTATTTGATGTCTACTTTGCAAAAGTTTGTGGCATAGTGTAGTAATAATTTTAATTATAAAAACCAATTCCTAAGAGTGAGTTTCAGTGCCTGAAATGAGTTCTAACTGTGTTTTCTGTACATGAAGCCATGTAGCCTTCCCTATGTTACCTCATGAATGTGCAACACCTGTATTCTGGAGTTGCCACGTGTAGATTTGAGACATAATAGTGTATTCATTTGTATTCATTCATTAGTCTTTCTCCTAAAGCTTCTTGCCTGTCTGGAGTAGTTTGTAGAAATTGCACACACGTACACACATACATACAAAGTGCCATAGTAATGATTTTATGAAATAATGGATTCCTTTTCAAATGACCCCCAAAAAATCAAATCCTGTACGAAGGTAGAGGGGGATGTTAAAAAGTGCTTGAAGAACCTACCACAGAAAACTGGAGGAAAGAATTGAGACTGCATATTCCTAAATCTGAATTACCAATCCAATGACATGGTGGGTAAACCTGCTCCTGTGCTACCTCAAGTGTTTATCTGTGGAGTGGGTTCACAACACAGCATCAGTGTGTACAATCAGCACTGAGATCACTGAAATAATTTAGTCGGTAGATTATAGCACCAAGCGTCTAAGTAACACAAGACCAGAACCAAGATACCTGACCATAAATTCATAAATAAAATATACTGTAATGTAGACATGGAGAAAGCTTTTCTCAAGGCGGAGCCTGGATAACCATGAGTTAATGTAATGTGTAGAATCACAGAGATCCTGGAGGGGCTGGAGGTACTGATGCAGTATAAATTGAAAAATAAATTGTTAAGCCAGCCAGAGTCTCCGGCAGGCAACCTTATCACGTGTTGCTGTGCTGAAACTTCTGCTACTAACTTTTAGTTTGTACAAGATGGAAGCCTTTGCCGATACTTGTTTTTTATTAATGTAACTCCCAATTATAAGGATCCTAAACTCAAAATCGTCCTTTATTTGAGAATTAAAAGCACACACATTCTCTAGATACAGTCCACACTCCTTTGATTATTGCTTTTGCCCATCCAGGATTAATAAACTAAGATGATGTTTGAGGTTTCCCTTTGGTCTTTCTGAATAATTGATTTTCCTTTATGACACATTTTACAGGTCTGTGATTCAAGTTGTTGACCTAGGTGCCTTTTCTATGAAACTAGTCTTAAAAGGTGCACCCTCTTAGAGTCATCAGTGGGTCCATCCTCTCTTTATAGTTCAGTGCATTTGCTTAGGCTGCTTTTTATCCGTTAACAGTTACGGTTATGAATGCTATAACAAAATACATTGTCCTCACTAGAAATGTATTATTTGTATTGCTAGAAGTCCACAAAGGGAACAATGAATGACTGGGAAAAGTAATATTAGCAGACTTGGGTTTCACTGTATTTCTCAGACAGTCATAAAACATGCTTTAAAAAAGTTTTCTTGACAAGTTGGAAACATCACTTGAGGCCTGCCTCCACTACTGTCTAGTGCAGTTATATCTTTCCTGGCTGCTGCTATTACACAAGAAGTTTCTTCCTAAACTAAATATACCAAGTGTTTTCATTCAGATTACAGAGCTTAATAGAATCACACACAAATATGTGTTTGATTACTGTTGCTATACATGCGGTAGTTTAATAGAACTATGAAACAAAAGTAATTCTGATCCCTGCACTGAGCCTCTTACCAACCCTTGAACTATGAACCACTTGGTTTTTAGTGATAGCTTCCCTCTTCTTCCTTCACTGGTTTGAAAATTGATTATCCTGTGACTAAACTGCCACAGCATGAATGATATTGGGCAGAATTCAGACAAACAAAGAATTCTATCTAATAATTTCAGAACAGCTTTCATTAAAAAACCATCTTTAAAGGAATAGTCTCAAAAATACATGTAAGATCTGAGTAGTCCAGGCCCCTCAGTACCTGATACTACTCAGCAAAAAGAATTTCAAGTATTTTAAATACAATTTGGGCCTAGATACCATATGTATAATCATAGAATCATAGAATTGTTTAGG